ATATATTATAGCATAACACCTAACATCTGATAATTATGCTTTAGCATTGCAAAATTAAGCTTTAGCAAATCATGTTAAGAGAATTATAACTTTGAATCTTAAAATTCTAGTTCAGCATCTCAACATTATTACTTAACAATTAATAAATATGACTTTGCATCTCACTTYTTCTCAAACATATGACTTAGGATCCTAAAGGTAAACAAAAAATGACCTAAAACCAAAGTAACAGCAGCTGTGTCTTTGTACTTTTATTCACACAAAGGAGCACTTCAACGAGGAAGCTTCAGTGTTTTCTGCAAAGTGRTGCAAGTTGTCAGTCTGTGGTGGATGGAGCAGTTTACCAAGCAGCTGAGGCAACACATGATTAATTTTTACGCAGAATGTTCCAGTAAATGTGCTTTGAGTTGGCTAAGATGAGATAACAAACCTCTAATCCAAAGAAGAGGCCTAAAGGCAGCAGTTTTTTTTTTCAACGTTTTAGTTGCATTGGTTCTGGAGAAAGCCACAGCAGCAGGGCTCCTTGTCCTTGTGACCCACCAGGACTAAACCCAGTCATGGTTCTGATTTACTGTAAAATGTAAGATTAATGCAGACGAAGCACAACTGGTGGCTTCACTGGTTTCTTATGAGCTACAGGAGCTGAAATACAACTTTGTAATTTAGCAGCTAAATTATAATTCATTTAAATCTCTGGACAAAAAATAAACAAACATAAAATAGTRAGTTGGATCATTTTGGATGAACTAATCTTCAGTTTTGGACCTTATTGCAGCTGAAGTCACAGTTTTAGGAACACCTTTCAAAYTCAAATCTGCAGTGGTGGGCACAGTTCCCCTAAAGCACTAAAAGGGGAACTAATTTCCAGATTAGTGCTTTAGGGCTTTTGCTAATTTCTTAATTCATTAGTGGATTAGCACTTGCTAAATTTAGGGGCTAAATTTYAAAGCACTAATTTAGTTCTTTAAATYTTATTGATCAACATTATTGTCAACAGCTGAGGGTGAAAGCTGTCAGACATGTTGGTCACTTCTCCACCAGATCAGTGGTTTTCAAACTTTCTTGCTTCTGACTCACAAAATAACAGTTGCAGACACTGGTGACCTCATACTTGTTTACGTAAACTTAGCTAATAACTCTGTTAAAAATGGGAATAATAACTCTAAACAAACCTAGTAACTATGATACAAATTTTTATTATGATTATTTAAAAAATTGCAATAATCATGATGAAAATATTCCATTAGCATTTTTTTGCATTTAAATTGATGTCTGAAAATCATCTGGGGACCCTCACTTGATGTTTTGTGGCCCACAAAG